TCTTAAAGAGCTGTCATGCTTTGGGGGATTATGCTGTGGGTAACTAACCCTTGAACAGCTAAAATGTGAATGAGTTTACCTTGAAGTAAACATTACTAAAGTGACTTTCTAAGTGATACTGGGGTAGAAACATTATGTATATGCTTTCAGTTACACGTAGATGGCATATTTGAACTGCCTCATTAGGAATATATTAAGGTTGCCATTAATGAAAATCACTTTCCTTTAAAGTAGGTTTGAAATTTAATTTTATTTATTCTATTTATGCATTTTCTTCAAGTTTAGTCCATTACTTAGAATCATTGAGGAGAGTTTTGTTAATGCTTTCAGTTTAAATGTAAAAAAGCAAGTAAATTGAAAACAAAACTAGTCCAAACATTTAGACTTTATTAACTAAGTCAGAATGTCAAATGAATTGTTGGAATTCTTATGGTGGGAAAAGTATCCTAAAAATAAGTTAGTAGGCATTTTGGAACAAGATGAAATACTAAAATTATTTTATAAATTTGGCTAAGCCTTTAACAAAGACTGCCAATTTTTAAACTTTTAGTCAGCAAATTTTTGTTCGTTTTTGTCTGAGTCAGCAAATTTTAAAAGATTTTACAATTAAAGTTTTTCACATGTTGGGCACTATAGGAATAAATACAGTAGCCAAAATATGTTTTTGAGCTAGAACACAGCTATTTTTCTTCTGCCTTTTCTAAGTTAACCAATTGAACCATTAGTGGATCTGTTTGTCATACTTTCAAATGAAGAGGTAATCTTATAGTTTGGCCTAAAAAATTAACCATGTGTATTACATTATACCCTAATTAGACCTTATCCAAATTGGGCTTCTGGATAGATATTCTTTGGCTTTTAAGGTGATAATATTTTCATTTATCCTGACATCATATTTCTGAAGTTTGTTTGAATTATTCTAAGACTTGAGAAGAATGAGTGATCAAAGAATTAGCCTTTCTTTCTTATTATCTTTGGAGGATATGAAGGCACACATATACCTGTTACATTATTGGTATCTCACTAAGGATATAAAGGCACACTTATACCTGTTACATTATTGATATCTCACTTGTACTCCCACATGTGATAGAAGTACTTTAGTTTTTCTTTTACAGATATTTAATTTGCCACAACTAGTGGAATCCCAAGCTTTGTGTCCATTCTTATGTCCTGTGGACTCAAAGAACTGAGGGGACAAATGAAAGGGTTGTCTACACTGTTGTATCATTGCTCTCTAGCTGGCATGGGATGCTGTACCATCTACCTTGCTTAGTCTGTGAAATTTAGCACAGTAATATCTCTGGCTACTTGCTCAATCTTATTACAGAGTCAGAGTCCTCACTGGGTCTTAGGTTTCCTAGTTTCTTCTTTCTCGTAGTTGAGGAAATTGAGCTGTGATTGAGAAAATTCTCAGAGAAGCAATTGCTGGTATATTGGATTGTTGGAAAAGTCGTGACACATTTTTGCGACAGATGGTGCTAGTTCATTTTTGGAAATACTAGTCATTCGCATCTATGTTATTGCTGTGTCATTTGACAGCTGACAGTTCTAGCTTCATTCTAAAAAAAATGAAGCGATTTGGTTGCGTTTTAGAGATTTTACAAGTTGAAGATGGAAGACCAAACTGCATTTTTGCCATATTTCATTGTTTTGCTTCTGTAAAGGGAAAAACGCATGTCAAGCTTGTGAAAAGTTGCATAAAGCTTACAGTGACAGTGCTCTTTGAGAACTTCAGTGCCAGCGATGGCTCATGCAATTCCATGCGGATGATTTTGATCTCAGCGATGCTTCTTGGTCAGGGAGGCCCACTGAGGTCGATGACGACAAAGAAAAGGGGATGGATTGAGTCAAACTCATGTAACATGACATGTGGGATTGCAAAAACATTAAGCCTCCATCATTCAAGCATTCATGACCACCTGAAGAAGTGGGGATGTGAAAGCAGCCTTGGTATTTGGGTTCCTCATGAACTCAGAAGTTCATTTGATGGTACATATAAACATCTGTAATACGCTCTGTGACGAAAATGATCCTTTTTTGAAGTGACTGGTTACTGACGATGAGAACTGGGTTGTTTACAACAGTGTGGTACGTAATGGTCTTGGTCCCAACATAATGATTCGCTTCACATGACACCAAAAGCAGGCATTCATCAGAGGAGCGTTATGCTCTCAATGTAGTGGGATTTTGAAGGTGTCTTGTTTTTCAAGCTCATGCCAAGGAACCAAATAATCACTTCAAATGTGTACTGTCAGCCGTTGGACAGTTTGAATGAATCCATCATCTAGAAACGTCCAGAGGTTGTTGAACATAAAGGGGTTGTGTTCATCATGACCATCACGACAACGTGAGACCACACAAAAGTGTTATCACCTGTCAAAATTATTGGAATTTTATTGGGATGTGTTGCCATACCCACCATACTTTCCAGACCTTGTGCCATTAGACTTTCACCTGGTTTGCTCACTCCAAAACTCCTTACATGGTATATCATCCAATTCCTGAGACTGTAAATCAACACCTTGTTCAGTTTTTCGCTGATGAAGACAGGTCTTTCTATGAACAAGGAATTATGAAGCTCACTGAAAGAAGGCAAAAGGTTATTGAACAAACCAGGCAATATATCATCAATTGATCTTTCTTCATTATGTAAATAAATGACCTTTGAAAAACATAGAAAAAAATACGTCATGACTTCTTCGACAACCCATGACACAAATATGAAGGACTTGAAGTTTGAGGATGTAGATTTGATGTACAGTTATTTAGCCACATAAGTGCTAGTTATGTGAAATGATAAAATCATGTTTACAGTGTTATGGGGTGATTTAAATGAAGAAAGACGTGTGAAAGTACCCAACCCCATCTAAGTTTATAATTAAAAAGCAGTAACTATCATTTTTTAAAAAGAATTATTTCTTTGATTTGTTATTGTTATATATCTCTGTCTGACCAGAGACAGAGGAATGGGGAAAGTGAGAAAGCAAGCCACCAGGTCTGGAGCTTGAACTGCGGTCAGCCATGTGGATGTTATACCATGCAAGCCAAAACTTGTTAACTACCATACCACCTGCTGGCCCAGTAACTTCTATTAACAAGTGGTGATATTAGGATTTGGATCTGGTCTGTGTGAAAAGTCTATGCATATGGGGACCAACAGATGGCGTAATGGTTACGTCACTGGACTTCCATTTAGTCGACCGTGGTTTGAATCCTGGACCTGGTGACTTAAATTTACACCAGGCGTGTATGTGTGTGTGTGTGTGTGTGTGTGTGTGTGTGTGTGTGTGTGCGCGCGTGCCCAAGATCCCAAGAGGAGAATGGAGGAGAAGAGATTACAGTATGGCCATCCCCTCTGCGAAGTGATTTGCTTTCTGTCTGTCTCCAGCAAGTGCACGCACCCTTAGCAAAACAAAAACAAAAACAAAACTCTTAAAAAGAAAAGGTCTCTGTATGGAAACACCTACCAGCTTTACAGTAGGCTCCGATTAGTAGCAATGGTCATTTCATTTGCATTCTTTGAAGGCTGGTAAGACCAATATTTTTCATTTGTCTATGTAAGATTATTGTGTATTAATCATGTATTTAATCCTTCTCTTCCTCTGACTACCATACTTGAGGCAGTAAGTGACACTCATCTCTCAAATGTATGAAATTTTATTCTCTGATATGTTTTAATATCTCATTTTCTACGTGGGTTTTTTACATTGTCATTTTTCTTTAGGTACGTTGTGCAAAATGTATAGAACGACTTGTATTGAGAGGTTTATTTGGGGACTTTTTTACATTAAGAAACGTGTACTATAGTCTAACGGCACAAGAGAACTTCTGTGTGGTATTAACGTACAGGCTGAGTAGCTTCAGTTATCTATTAGATTTTAGATCAGGGAGATCAAAAGTCCCTAAGAAGAAATTGTTTCTGTTTAACAAGAAATTCACTATATAGTTAAACATTCTTAATCATTTTTTTTTTAAGTTTATTTATTCATTCCCCGAATGTGTGTGAGAGAGAGACAGCACCTCCAACAAGTGCTCAACACTATGATCCATACCGAGTTTCAGCCATTCCTAGGTCATGGCCACATGTGTGCCAGGAGATTTCCTGACCTGAACTGAAAATCTTTTCATATATATCTGCCTCACAGAGTGCATTCTACCGCTGTGCCACCATGTGGCTTCCTCACTTTATTTTTACATTAATTTTCCACTTGATTGTTTTGAGGTTGAAGTAGATTGTCACTAATAGCCTTGAATGCTAGTTTACCAAACAGAATGTGGTCACTTTGGGTCGGTCTTGTGGTGCAGCAGTTTAGTGCTGTGCATCGAGAGCTGATTCCCACATGGCAAACTGTGTTTCAAATCTAGGGCCTGGTGGCTTGGGAAATGTGCGGGGCACGTATGTGTTCATATCCAAAATCCTGAAGGGGTGGAGAAATGGAGAAAAAAAGGATTATGGTGTGACTATACCCCACTAGGGGTTGCTCCAACCCCTCATAAGTCCACACACCATTTGGCAATTAAAAAAAAAATGCGGTCACCTTTAATTATAGTACTCTGAGCAGTCTGATAGAGCCAAAGAATTAATATTGCAATTAAAAATACATCCAGGACCCAGCAGGTGGCATAGTGGTTAAGTGGCATAGCGTACTGGACTCCCACATGGCTGACCACAGTTAGAGTCCTGGACCTGGTGGCTTGCTTTCTCACCTTCCCTCTCTGTCTTTTGCTCTCTTACACTGTCTCTCTCTGGTCACAATTAAAATAAATAAAGAAAGTAATTAAAAAAAAATCTTCTAATAGGGGCCAACAGGTGGCATGGTAGTTAGAGGCTCTGGACTCCCACGTGGCCAATTGCAGTTTGGACCTGGCGACTTGCTCTCGCTTGCTCTCTTTCTTTCTGGTCAAAATAGGGGAGAAAATAATAATAAATAATTAATAAAAAAAATAAAAATAAATAAATCTAAAAAAAATACATCTAATATATTTTTTCCTCATAGCAAAGTTCCTGCATTTGTAAGAATGATTGCTCCTGAGGGATCCTTGGTGTTTCACGAGAAGGCCTGGAATGCGTATCCCTACTGTAGAACAATTGTCACTGATTCTGGAAAATCATCTTGTACTCCACCCCAAAGATGAGGAGAGGGACTCCCAGGCCCATATCTTTGAGAACGGTTACACTGAAAAGGCCTTCTTTGGGTTTTCAGATGTCAACACTGTTCAAGTGTTGACAGAGGAGAGGCTGCATTGCCCCATCACCCTGATTTCTGTGAAGGGCACAGGTTTGCTTCAGATGACAGCCACATTGAGCTTTGGCTCCAGGGGTAAAAGGAATATATAAGTCTTAAAGATATCAACACTCATTTCTTTGGGTATAGTTTTAACAGTATTTTACTTATATCACCACATATTACAGGAGGAATATGACACACTTCTGAAACATCTTCCTGTTCTTTAGCCTTATGAATGTTTTGCTTTTGTGACATCCTTTTTAGTAGTATTTTAAAATTTGATTATTCTTCATATTTAGTCGGTACTCTATAATCCAAAGTATCCTATCCTGTCAACATGGGTAGAAACTGTTTTGCACCATAAGCTAATAAATGTTTTTTGTTTTCAGGTAGTTTAGTCTTTGTGACATTAAATATTGTTTTCAATTAATGTTCTGCAATTTTTCCCTTTCATTGCCTGCCTGTCCATCATGCCTCAGTTGTCACGGTGAGTACGGCTATTTTTGTGTGACATACGCTTCATTTTTAAACTTCGTTTTACATAGTAATTATTTTAAACCATCCTTTTTTTTAATGAATTAAAATTGCCCTTTGCTGCATGGCTTCTCCTCTGATTCTTTCAGCAGTCCATGTCCACACACATTCTCCATGTTAATGGGCTCTTTCCAGCCTTGTCCTAAAGTCTCCCTGTTGATTTTATTTTGCTTTTCCTTTGAATGCCAGATTTGTTCACCAAACCTCACAGCTTCTTTATTAGGCCTGTATGCTGCATGACAAGTAGTATTGCTTAAATTATTTAAAAGCATGCAGCATTTTGTTTCTCTGGCAAGTCTATAAAAATCAGCACCTAATGATTCTTTGTCACTTGAGGATTGGTCTGTTTGTGGAGTCAAAGCATGGATGCCTGTGCTAGGAAAGGTTCCCACAGACATAAAGCCTGAAGAACCAGTGGAAAGATCACTGTCATTTTCTGTTGTGTTTTCTGCAGAATGAATACATGAAAGATGATTTCTTCATTAAAATTGAAACATGGCACAAACCAGACTTGGGAACATTAGAAAATGTAAGTTTCAACTCTGCGCTTTTAGTGGAGAAGCCCCTGGCAAAGGGAATTCTGTATGTAGTACACCTTGTCATCGCCAAAGTGATGTCACCTGTGTTAGACTAGATCCTGACCTCACCGGGCTGTGTCAGATTGAGGTGAGGCAAGCAAGCAAGCAGTCAGAAACAGAACGGGCTTTCCCTGTCAGTCCCTTTGCCTTGACACATCAGTGGACTTGGTGAAATTGCTGTTTTTATCAGGAATGCTTTATTTGGGACAGCAGTAGTTTGTCATGGAATTTGATGAGGCCTCTGTGTCTGGTTTGATGCTCTAGGCTCTGTGGTTCTCAAAAGTCTGGTTCCTAGGCTGCAGTAGTACCTCAGAACTTGCCAGAGGTGCACATACTCAGAATCTCTGGGAGTGGGGCCACCAGATTTCCCTGATTTCTTTTGCACAGTGTTTCAGGGCTACTGTCCCATCCTTACGAAAAACCTTTATAGATGAATGGGACAACGACTTGCAAATTATATTCTTACTATTGTAATACTATGTGTTTATGTCGGTGCCCATTAGTAGAGCTTTTGTATTTTTATTTGCAGTGTTTGACTTGAGTTTTCTTTCAACTAGCCATTTGACTTTCATGTTTATCATAGTTAACTCTAAAATGTAAGGTCTGAATGAGAGATGATTTGGTATGCTTTAATCTGTATATCATTTAATGTGCCATTTTTAGCTTTCAACTGGGCGTCTCTGGCAGTTTTTAAACAGTTCTCAATTGGTTCATAGATAGAGTTACAGACATAAATGATTGAATGAAATGAAGTATAGGGAGGTTGACATTGTAATAAACTGAGTAACTTTAGGATAATCATATTCAGGAGAGGTTTTAGACCATATAATGCAGCTTCTTGAAATCCAATTATAATACCACCCTGTGTCTGTATAGTACTTACAGGTTGCAGGAGTTTATTGTGTTATCATTGGGGTTAAGCATAGATCAAACATTTTGTTATATCAATCATCTGTAAGGACTACCAAAAGTTAATATTGACAGATTTCTGTTCATTTAGACCCTCCTCACTCCATTATTTGGTAAAGAGTAACAAAAAACGTCTAAATTTCTCAAATATTTGGAGCACTAATTTAATAACATAGTAATTTGGATCTTTTTAAAAATTCCTCATAGGGACCAGCAGATGGCGTAATGGCTATGTTGCTGGACTCCCACATAGTTGACCACGATTCGAGTCCCCGACCTTGTGGCTTAAACTCACACCGGATGCGTGCGTGTGTATGTGTGTATGCCTAAGATCCTGAGAGGAGAATAAAAGAGAAGGGATTGCATTTTAGCCATACCCCCGGGAGGTGATTTCTCGCTTTCTGTCTGTCTCCCTCTGTCTTTCTGGTGAGCACACGCGCCCTATAGCAAAAACCTCTCCAAAATAAAAAAAAAAAAAAGGAGAAAATTGCTCATAATATACCACAAAAGACTCAAAATAAAAATGACATATATAAGTCTGATAGTGTTACTTAACAAGAGTAATCTTCAGTTTTGTTTTGATTCTCTTTGTCATTTGTAGGTACATGGTTTAGATCCAAATACGTGGAAAACTGTTGAAATTGTCCACATAGATATTGCAGATAGAAGTCAAGTTGAACCAGCAGTAAGTACTACTTGATGAAATGTTAACCTTTTTCTTTTTACCTCTAAAAATTACTTGATTTCTTGTATAGCCTCTATTCCTATGTTGAAATGAGCTTACAACTTAGATCTGAGTCTATGTAGCAGACTAGAGAGTAAGAGAGACCATGATTTGTTTTCTGTGCATGATCTCTTTAAGTAATCTCAGTATGCCTGGGAGATATATATATATATATATACACCTATATATATATATATATATATATATATATATATATACACACACACACACACACACACATATATAGTGTGTGTGTTTACATTGGAATAAACACACATTGTTTACAGAAGAGTTCTCCTTGAGCCTCTCTAAATAACTTGGACCCCTTGTGCTTTCCAAGTGTGATTAAGAAAGCAAAAGTTTAATTT